GCTGGCTAGTCTGAAGAAGCTGTGATGATCTGTGAGACGGAAGTTCAAACACTGCAGTTCTGAGGTTGAAGGCGGAGCTAGGTCCACTCAGGCTTTTAGCACAGGTGAATGGTTGCCATGGAGATTGGATGATTTGTCAAACCTGCATGAAAGAATCAAGGCAACACTCCAGGTATGTTTCTGATGATGGAATAACATTGTAGCATTATGTAAAGCTCAGAAAAGTTGATTTTACATAATAAATTACTGCTGTCCACTGTAGTAATTGGCAGGTTTGAAATGGCCTGTCAAATAGCAACCCCTGCCGAGTTCCAGCCCCGTTACCTAGCAACCTCAGCCTAGTTCCAGCCCCGTTACCTAGCAACCCCCGCCGAGTTCCAGCCCCGTTACCTAGCAACCTAAGTGGCGTTCCAGAATGTTTGGTCAGGAACTTCTGTTCTTTTAGGAACTTTCTGTTTCAGCTAGTCTTTCATGACAGATATTATTTTGTAAAATCTTTAAAAGACACAATAGCGCTTTGATATAGATATCTTAAAATAGGTTTACCCAACCATATATTGTTTTTATTTGTTGTTTTTAGTGTGTTTTTTTTATTTAGTATGTAAGCTCTTGTGTTAGTGTTATTTTTATGTCCTGTATTGTTTCATGGGACTACAGCATTTCGCTAAATCCAATGTATTTACGACAATATTATATGTTCATTAATATACATTGTCCCATTCAAATAAAATGTGTTAAATGTAAAGGTAACTCGTAGAACTGGATGAGTTACCTTTTTATTTAAGGTCACTCGTCCAATTACATTAGGTCAGTAACTTTGCACCAATACCTCAAAACTGCAAGAACAAAAATGTGGTAAAGATGTATACGATAGCATCAGTTGGTAAACCCTCATAAATTAGCCCAATTTTTCCTTTGTGAATGTGCTCTACAACAAAATAGCTGACAAAAAAAGATTCAAGGTGTGCAGTAGCCTAGTCAAAGTCCCGATCTGACTCAGTTAGTTTCAAGTTTATTTATTCAACGATATTTTTGTATGTTTGATGCTTTACTGTAAGTTAAAGTTACTCTGGATTTACCAGTTGTTAAACAGCAGTTTGGTCAGTTTTAATAGCATGCTGTGGAAATGTGAGATTGTGTTTTTCAATAGGTTACCTGGAAATAGGTAGGACTGTTTTGTGTAACACAAGGAAAACAGAGAAAGTGATGATTTTCTCCTCACTTTTTCTGTACAGGAACAGCTTGAACATCACACTCATACTAGACTTTATACGGGTGGAAAATCAATTGTTTTGGTTTTCAAAATTATTTGTGAAATGTTCCAGGAATTTGAAGCGCCTTAAGAGGGAAACAAATGTTTTTCTATAACCGAAATATATTTTTGGTGGTTCTGACCATCACACAGATCTGTTATGATAACAGTTTGCTCTCCGAGGTAACTGCTCGCTGTGATGATTTCACAAGGTGATTCCATGAGGGCGATAAAAACAGCAGCAGTCACACAATAATAAGAGATGTGAATAGCCCACAGGATGACATCTGGGCTATTTTGGAAGTAAAACAGGGGATGGCACACCATCCAAATGAGCCATGAGCTGATATAAAAATACTCACGGTATGATCGTAACCTTGGTCAAAGACATTTTGTTTTGTGGCATGAAAACAATGATCAACCACATGGTCTGCACATTTATTTTAGTCAGAAAATGGCATATGCTACTGTTGGCTGGGTTTTAATAGTAATGATCTTTGCAGCTATACAAATATTATTTAGTGACTGATTTTAAAGAAAGGCTGGAGTTGTTAGCACTGTTAGCATATAGTTAAAGTCAGTATGCTGACAATTTGTTCCTCTTTAAAAGCTAAATTAAAAAAAACCCAAACATCATTGTTTGGAGGTAAATTTTATTAGTTAACATGAACAAAACATAAATTCCCCGTTGCTCTTTTTTTTTTTTTAATGAGATATTATCTGGAGCTGTAAGCTAGCTAGCTAGCCAGGCGTTCTGGGTCTCCAGTTAGCTTGCTATAGGCTGCATTTCTAACAGCAAGACAGTTTTAAAAGATGAGATTTTTTTTAACAGTTTACGATGAAACAGTCAGAATTCCTTCAATTTCAACTTTTCAGAGTAAAAATAATGTATTATATTATATTATGGCATTTTCATTAGCCATGTTAAATATCTTGGTGTTTTTCTTTTCATTGTTGCCAACTTCTCAGCAAAAAGTTGTAATTGACTGTCCTAAAAATTGCTGGATGACATCATGACCTAATTTACATATTACATAATGTGGATCCAGGCAGGAGAAATAAGCAACTCAAACCTCTAACAAATTACGCAGGATGTTTATTTAGACATTTTTTAACATAAAATAAACTTTTTGTGACAGAACAAGAATAAATTGAAGACATATACTGTGTTTCCATTAACGTGTTATACATGCATTTTAAAGTATTGCAATAGAAACAGCAAAATTCAAAATAACTTCCACAATTTCACAAAAACTGAATAAATTAATGCGCAAAAAGAGAGATTGAAACACATTTTCTGAATAAGTTCTGACTTAGCAAACTTTCCCATCCACTGGTTTGTCTGAAGCATGAAACTGAATAAATTTGAAAGTCCAAACCTCCAGGTTAGTTTGCATCATCTAATTCCTGTTTTTCACAGCCATACTTGGCATCTGCATCTTGCGAAAGTACACTTTGCTGCAACCAGCAGATAAAGACACTCAAAATCTGCATTTTCTTTTATTTTTCCTTATTTGTGACATTGCAGAAGTTTGCTTAAAATGTGCATGGTAATTGGATGGAAACATAGAGTAGCAGCATTTCCATTACAAAAATGTACAAAACTTATTTTACTCAACTGATGTTGAAAAACACACCAGAAAATTGGCATGTTTGTATTAAATATAGTTTTGAAATGTCAAATTGCACAATTATATGGTGAATGGAAATGCATCTAGTGTTGCAAAGTGTCGTGATCCGTAGATAGTTTCATTTATGCTTTTGTTTTAAGTTAAGAAACTATTATTTGATTATTCGAATCATTGTTTGTGTTCTGGATTTGTTTCTTTCGAGCGTTTTCGCAGTCCGGTATACTTGGGTAGATTGGGAACCATAATTTGTCACATTCTCAGCTGCTGTGGTTCTATTTCTAACTGTGCTGCATCAGAAGAACCAAACCTTTTGAAAAAACTGTACCTCTCCTCGCCTGTGGGGGCGCTGCACCAAGGACCACTGAAGGAAACAACACAACAACCTCTGGATAAGACACTGAGCACAACTTCCTTCTTCACAAAATGTAAACAAAAACAGAGTAGCATCAGACTTTAGTGGTTGTAGGATGTTTCCATTGTAGTTTTGTGAAATAAACTTTAATACAACCAAGAAACGCATAATGTTAGCACAAAAACCTTTTGTAGAAAAACGTGAAGGTAAATAGGGGAACATCACAACTTTTAAGATTTCTAATCAGCTTCCAGAAAACCAAACTAAACCAGATGTTAAAGCTGCTGTAAAAAACTCCAATACCATTAATGATAAATCAAACCCCGAATAACTGGTTGGTATTTTTTACTTATAGGAGGCATAAAGCAGAATGTCATTTGATTTAACAATATAACAATGAAGAAACAAAAGGAGCAACAGAACAGAACAAAAAGTACCAGTGGAAGATCAGATTGAACTCCTAAATATTTCCCTGTGGAATGCTTAGAACACAAAAGACACACATTTCTCAGATTTCTGACCCCAAGCAGAATGTTTTGTTGACTTCATGAATTATTAACACCTCATTGCTCCTCGAAGAACAACCTGACCTCTGACTTTACAGAACTGAAATGACCCGGAAAACTTTTTTTTTCTGGTGAGGATGAAGCCGCTAGCCTTCCTGCAGGTTGTGGTGTGTAGCCGACATCCTGGTGTTTGGGGGAAAACAGAAGGCCACGGCGGGAAGCGACGAGTCAGAGCGCGGGTTATTGGCCTGTGGGGACTTTCCATGAATTTGGCTACTTTGGCACTCGCTTCCATGGGACGAGCATTTCTTGTTATGGTGGAAAAAACTGGCAAGCTGTGTTGGTGTTTCAAACAGCATGTGTCATATTAGCTGCTGAATGTGTTGATGGTTTCATGGAGGCCGGTTGCTCATCTGTGCTGTTTGTTTCCAAAGCAGCTTCGGCTGCGGGGCGAGAAAGGAGACGGTAATGTAATCCACAGCTTATATTCATATTAACTCAGACAAAAACAGCAGTTCCAGCTCTTAAATCTTAGACTCATTAGATAACATAGAAATTTTCCTTTTAGATCCCATGCGTTTGAATTGTTTTGTAAAATGGTGTCAGGACACCATTACAGGTGAACTGTTTACTAAGTAAACATAACTCTGTTGTGTTGGTCCCATATTTTGAGCTTGAATCAGTTGCAACAACGTGAAGCCTACTGAACTCCAGCGCAGGTCATTCTGGGTAAATACAACCAAGCAAACGCGTTAGCTCACCGCTAGCGGAAGAAATGACTTGCGGTCTTTTGCCAAAGACTAAAATGAAATCCTACAAACACTAAAATCTGACACCACTCCATTTTTGTTCACATTTCATGAAGAAGGAAGTTGTGCTAAGTGTCTTCTTCTGAAGTTTTTGTGTCATTTCATTCAGTGGTTCTTGTTGCAGCGCCCCCTCAGGCAAGGAGGGGAACAGATTGCTCCCAAATTTTGAACAGTCTGACTCAGCGCAGGGCAAAAGAGAACTGGTTTGGTAGAAGTGAATGATTCAGATGTGAATGCCAAGCAGACTGCAGTTCGATCCAAAAGCAGGAAGTGGACTAAAACAAAGGGCATTCTGGGTAAATAAAACCAGGATAAACGCATTAGCCTACCGCTAGCAGGAGAAATAGCTTGTGGTCTTTAGCAAAAGTCAAAAGATAAATCCTACAACTGCTAAACTCTGACACCACTCCATTTTTTGTTTCAGGAAGAAAGAAGTTGCGCTTTGTGTCTTCTTCAGAGGTTTCCATGTCGTTTCTTTCAGTGGTTCTTGGTACAGCGCCCCCACAGGTGAGGAGGGGGACGGGTTTGTTTGACTCGGTGCATGTGAAAATGCAATAACTTTTTATAATTTTGGTGTCCAATCAAATCAAATCTATCAGGTGGGAGACATTCTAAAAGATTATTTTCCATCTAAATCAGTCAAGCAGGGGTATGAGTAGTTTAGAGCTACGGTGAAAGTATGAGGAGATGTCTACAGGTTATTTTTATGTAACATTACGTGTAAAAACCAGCCGTTCTTGACTTTTATGTTGCTGAAAAAGCATCCAAGGTCCAAGGTGAACAAATTATTTGCATTCACACATCATTAAGAAGTGAACGAGCGGGGACTTCGGCACACACTGGGATCTTTCATGTTGGCCTCGACAGCTTTTTGAGGCCCCAATCAAAGAAATGCTGACAGTCCTCGTATAACTTAACACCAAGTCGGAGGAAATAAAAACAGTTCTGCGGCCTCAGAGCACTTCGACGAGCGGCGCGACCCAATCTGGTCAGGGTGTAACTGAGACGGCCTTGTCTGGTAAACCCAGGTGCAACAGAGGCGTTAAACGCTGGGAGGAAATAAGCAATAACTGGGAGTGTGTGTGTGTGCGTGCATATTTTGTCAAAGTGGTGTCAGAGTCGATAAGAGTCCTGCAGCAGCAGCGAACAGCTGGAAATTCAGCGGACTACCGACCGCTAAGCTTGTTTCATACTCTGCAACTCCTATATTTGGATTAAATTATAGAAGTTATAGAACTATAATTTTCTCCTTATTATCTGAGCGGTAACATGGAAATCTAAGGAGTTTTAAAAATAATGTTTTTCTGGAAAGTTTTGCGTAACATTTCTCATCTTTGAGTTGAGAAGAAACAAGTCGACAGAAACCTAATACAGAGCAAGGCAAACATCCAGTTTTCTTTTCTTTTCTACATTCCAGGTTTGTTGTGTCGCATTAGATTATATAGTTCTGAATATGTGAAACTGAATACCGAGGTACAAAACGTTTAGTGAGAACAAATGTCAGTCTGCAGGTCTGCATCTGCTGTCGGATCGGTGGAAACTTTCACAGTTTCACTTAGCAGGCGTGTGAAGTCACTTTTGGAAACGTTCCTCCTGAATCTTTACTTCATGTTCATTATTTCATCTCCAGCTTTCCCAGCTGCAGAAGAAACAGAAAGAGTCCCACAGTTAATAAAGTCCAAACAAGCGAACTGGATCTCCTAATAGAGCGTTTTCTGTTTGATTTAGTAGAATATCCTGTCGATCCTTTGCACGTGACGTCACGCTGTTCTGAACGCTGCCCTGCTCCGCCATGACGGACGTCAAAACAACCCGTCAAAAACTAAATAAAAGCTTAAATCGCTTTTATTTAGTTGATTTCACTTTAAAAATGGTCACAAGGTGGTGTGTGGTTGGCTGCACAAACAGACAAGAATACAAATTAAACTTGTCATTTTGTTTTATAACTTTTAAAGAGGTAAAATATGGTGGCAATGGATAGCAGCCGTCAATCATAATGGACGTAACAACGTGTTTTACGTTCACAGACAAATTAGCTCGACTCCAACGAGTAGAAGTCATGAATATCAACTGGCAAAAATGTCAGTCGCTCTCCTCCCGTCCCTCACTTCCGGCGTCCATCATGGCGCCTATAGTGTTTCTGTAAAGGGTTAATAAAAATTCCCACAAGACTGAACTGGAAGTGATTGGCGCCATGTTGGTAGGCAATCGCAAAGTAAAGATGAACCATGGCTTTTAGATCAACAAAAAGAAAACATACTGACGCACTTAACCAATGTGAACGAGAAATATATATCAACAAATTATTAGAAATTTTCCAGAAGAAAATTGGAAATTTATGAGTTCCAGGATTCTGAAATGTGCAAGAAAAAAAAAACAATATTTTTTTTGAGATTCAAAACTCAAAAATTTTCAACTTTATAAGCGCAGAAATTTTCCACATTTTTTTTTTTAGAACATTTTTGAGATTCACCGCAAAACTTTTAACATATTTCTCACAAATTTCGGACTTCTGAAATTCAGAAAATTTCTGAAAGTTGAAAATTTTCAGCTTTATGAATTCAGAAAATTTCCAAGTTTTTTCTAGAAAATTTCTGAGTTTTTCAGAGTTTTGTGGTGGAAATTTACTCCCTCTTTTCCTGCTTACACAGTCCCTAACCTGAATCTGTGTTCTTTGTGCACCATTCCTGCAGAATTTGCTGCTGCAGCTGCTGTCAAGTCCATTTGCAGCATTTTGCATCACATCCTGCTAAAATAATATGCTAACTGCTGCTTTTAAATCACAGTTGTTATTATCTGCTCTCTCTTTTTAGCCTTTATATTAAGAGTTTGAACATAAATAGTTCCTCCAAGAAAACCCATAATTGTCCCAGAGCACATTTGTAACATTATACACAAGTGTTAAAACACCATGGCAACAATTTACAGCCACTTAAAGCTTATAAATTTGAACCGTATGACTATATCTGCTTCTACATCTGGAGTAGCAATTCTGGAGCTCCAACCACCTTCACCTACGGGAAACCACAGAAGAAATCCTTTAACTTTGGATAAAAAGATTCCTGCTAATCTTGCGTTTTATTGCCCATTTGCAGCACTATTTTCAGAAAAACTACGTCAGCGATCATGAAAGATGTTTTCATATTGAGTTAATTTGTTGCCATGGTTTCACCTCATTAAATCAGTCATGAAAGTGTAACAGTGTATTCCTGCAGAAGAGGGGCTCGTTTTTCAATGTCCAACTGGATTTCTTTACTGCTCAGGCCAAACTCGTAAACGTCCAAAATTATCAGTCAAAAGAAAAACCTTCAAGGCTCTAAAGATTTCAATTATATTTGCGAGCAATCCAGTTCACATAACATACAAAAAATAGCATAAATGCTTTATTAGTCACGGGTTATTACACATATAGATGTACATTTTTAAATGCAAACTTTTTCAGTTAGTTACAAAAGAGTCTTAGCGTTTTATTAATCTTGTTTTATTTAAACTTGATTAAAAATAATCCTACACATCCAGACTTTTACTTAAATATCCATTCGCTGAACTTGGCTAAGGAAGTGTTTCTGAAGGAAGAGTAGCCTGTTTTCTTTGTTTGTTGCGGAGAGTAGACTAATCAGAAAATAAAAAAACACAACTGAACCAAACAGTTGAAGAGCTTGTACAGTTGCATTCACTAAATTTTATTGAGTGAATAACTGAAATATTTGAGATCTCATCAAAAAATGTTTATAACTGCCTATTTTTATAGTTTAAACACTAAATATACCCTAATATGCATCAATACTCAGTAGAAATCAGAAATTAGCACTACATCGGAAGCTAGGTCTATGGACTTCCTTATTTTTGGGGGCTCAGCCAATCAGCACCAAGAACTATGAATGGTGCTCCGGGATTGGCTGCTTTCCAAATGCCAGCCAATAGCGTGTCAAGTAGCAAAGCAGGTGGAGATTTCATCTTCCAAAATACCTTAGATAGGCTCTGATGACAGATTTTAACAGTAAAATCTGTTATTACTGAACCACAAAATCAGCCTGTTTGTTTAATTAAATATTGCACTTTTGACTTTTGCTCTGCAGGTAAAATTATGTTCAGAGTTTTTGTATTTCACAAATCAAAAAAATGTCCGACTCCACGTCTCTCAGGCATCACCTTCTTTGATCAGTTTGCTAACATTACTTAAAAATTTGAAATTTAAACACATCAAACAAAACATAAATTTAAATTTTATATTTTTTTATTTACTTAGAGTTGATGCTATTATGTCATTCCTTGACAAGAAACCCAACTAAAATATAATTTTTAAAAAATATCTGGTATTTTCAAAATAAAAACTTTAAATCTTAAGAATTGTGGTGACGTTTCCATGGTTATTTACCGTCAACCAAAATAACTTTAATTTATTTGATTAGGATAGTGCACATTAATCGTTGCACAATCGATGTGTAAATATGCAAGAATTATCCCAATAGCTAAATGTAGACAAAACACCTCACTAAACAAGACTTCACACTACACACATACATATTATACTTCTTCCAATATTCTGGAGGATGGAAAATTATGCATAAAATCTACTAATTTAAGCTCCCAAACTAACACTTTTTTGACCTTTACCGGTGTTTTCACTAACAAACTTGCAACCTTGCAAACAGATTCAGAGTTGGACGCGTTCACCCCCTGGAGATGGGAAAAACGCAGGAAGTGATTAAAACCCCGAGGTCGTCCGTCGCTGTAGTGGCTTCTGGTTGTGACACTTCAGTTGCAGAGGGATGCCTGCTGAACAGATAAAACTTCACTTCAAGCTATTTATTTGCTTACACAGCTTCCCAGCAGCTCACTTGACCTCCAGGGGTCAAAACAACCAAGCAACACCTGTCTCAGTCAACACTAATTGGAACAAAGTCTGTTTCTGTTTGGGGACAACAGAAACAACCATTCAGCTTCTTGATCTTCTGCATTGTCACACACACACACACACTCAGACGTGTAGCGCTGTCTGCTTTTGTGCAGTATTTATGGCGAGTAGACACAAGGGAACCTGACACCACATTTACAACCAATTGCTGTGCGATGATGAAGTGGCCCATTTGGTTTGGATTCAGTGTTTGTTCTCCGGCCGGCAGATCCATCATGACGAGCGGCCAGGCCAACGTCGTTACGCACACGGCCATATTTATCCACTAAAACCACCCACAACGATCCAGTAATAACACTTTTTATTTCTATTTCAAGAATTTTATGTGTTTATGTTTCGGTTTCTTTATGTTTTATATGTCTGTAAAAAGGTTTTTATGCAGATATAAACCTCTGTTTCTGCTTGCATGCGTTTAAATTTCACTTTCTAGTATGTTATCATAATAAGTTTATTTGTGTGACATTTTTCAGCTTTACATTATAACATGAAATATGTTGATATGATGAAAGAAATGGTCTTCAGTAGAAAATTAATGTGTGTACAAAACCACAACAATGGATTTTAAATTGTGTTTAGGGTTGGACAGCCACTTCTGGAAATGACTGGCTACTGGTTTTAATAAGGTATGGACTGTAGATGTTGGTGCCTTACAGCCCTTCACAGATTGATGCTCAGCATCAGTTGCTGATGTCCTTCTTCAATCAAACTTATGCTCCTTATGAACAAACCATCAAATTTATTTCTTTGTAGACTTACCGATTATCAAATAAACAACTGGAATTTACTTTTCTGCAGACAGGCTTTTTATTTTGGCTTTGGATTTGTATAAAGTTTGGTTTTTAGTTTGTATCAAACATGTAGAGAAAACAGACTTGCTGTCTTATTCCTCACCGCACAAGTACAAAATCTTACCAAGTATTTTTGGTCCACTTTCTAGTGCCAATGTCTTAGTGCACTTTAAATAAGACAACACTTAAGAAATAGAACTTGGTTGCTAGGTAACGGGCTGGGCTTGGCTGGGGTTGCTAGGTAACAACATGAAATAAGTGAAATAATCTGTCAGTGGAACTAGAACTTAAAAATAAATATTAAGGACGTATTAACTTAAAACAAGCTCCTATATGTTGCTGAAAAGTTACTTAAAAGTCAGTTTAGTCTTTTTTCCAGTGTGCTAATTTATCTGAAACTAGGTCAAAAATACTTGGTGAGGTTTTGTTTTTTTGCTTTCTTTTTGTTGACATAATTAGGTGAAACATTGCCGGTAGATTTAAGCGTTCCGAAGCGGATAATGCTGTTCGGTGACATCTAAATCTGCAGAACTCGCGGCCGTTTTAAGTTCTGCCTGCTCCCGGTTTTACTGCCTGACAGATTCTGGCTCTCGCATTCCCTCTTGCCGAGGCGTTCAATCCGCACCAAATGTTTCACATTACCCCAGTGTGAAAACCCTCCTATTCCTCAGATTCCTTTTTACAGGTCCGCGCAACCGTGGAAACTTGATATTTCATATTTCATTCTGGTTTGTGGATGTCATTGCAAGTGGACGCCGGTTCACATGCAACCCTCCAGTCCGCCGCCTTTGATCAGCCTGACCACGACTAATTGCGGACGGAGAACAAATGGAAGAAATATCAGGGGATTTCATGGGAATTGCCACTTTGGCCCGGCGCTGCTCTGTGCCGTTAAAATAGCCAGTTGGCTCTTGGAGAATTAGTATGTTTCCT